AGGAGGGAGAGCCCGCTGGATGGGAGATTCGGGTGTTTTCTGACAACATCCTAGTAGATCCTCACCCTCTGGGTGGAGGAGCGAAGCCGATTGCATCAGTAGGAGATCCGGGGGAGCTGGCAATTGGATTTCTGAGCCCAATGTTGCCCATACCAACCAAGAGGAGCAATCTATACAGAGAAGAAGAGGATGCGGGGCTGTGACTCGCTCGTGCCGTAAAAGAGAGGGAGATGTTTCCCCTCCTCGCCCTATTAGCGAACGGAAGACCACAGACAGGAGATGCTTGCACCCACAACTGGCGGCTTCTCCGAGGGAATACAGGGGATTCGCCTTGGATAGGGGTGATAACCGCCGGCAACAGACAGGACGGCAAGGGATAGTTGACATGGAGACCGTCAAGGTGGGGGGCAAAGGGGGAAGTGCTGAGCTGCATGACATCTAGACAAGTATCACCCATATAGGAGAGGGCAAGAGGGTGGGGGGGAGAGCAAAGAGAGAATCTTAATGGAACATATGATAGTATAAAATCAAATGACCCCCCTCCCATAACCCACAGTAGGGAAAAAGATGGTATGGGAGTAAATATCACTGGAGAAGAGGAGGGTGAAAGAGTTCTAACAAATTCAAGAACTGGTCCTGAGAGAACAAACAAGAATATCCAAAAGAGTGATAGAGGGTTGGATGCAGATGTTATAGAAACGACTAGAACACAGATTAACCTGTTGGGACAAATGACGCGATCTAGGAGCCGGGTGCAAGCGTTAGCTAACCTTATTTAAGGCGTTTCCACTAACTGGCTTTTAACTCTGACGATGTTGGGAGTGCCCAATGAAAGCTTGGTTTTATTAAAGTATTTCCTACTTGGATCCTCCTGGTGGTCGTAAGTTATTTATATTTTTTACATTATGAATATACCCAGGAGTCACATTTTTACAGACATTATTAGGTCTTTGGTTATTCGGGTTTTCTCCTGCGTAAAATTGGAAGTGTCTTGGCGACGACACCTTCATAATCTGACCACATGGGAAAGAAAAATTGGACAACTTCCTCACATACCTCAACAGTCTACACCCCAAAATACAGTTCACCATGGAAACAGAAGCTAATAACCAACTTCCTTTCCTGGATGTCTTAGTCTACAAGAAATCCAATGGCTCCCAAGGACACACCATCTACACGAAGAAAACACATACAAACCACTATCTGCATGCACTCTTACACCACCACCCAGCACAGATCAACTCCGTAGCCAAGACACTCATCTCCAGAACAAAACGCTTAGCTGATGAACAACACCTAAAAACCAAACTACACACTCTCACTAATGTACTAACATCCAACAGATTCCAAAGAAATAAGATTACCAACCTAATCCAAAAAGAAATCCCCACTAAAATCCAAGACAGAGAACAAGAAAACGGCAAAGCCCTCCTCCCATACATAAAAGGCACCACAGAGAGAATCAGCAAGATCCTCCACAAACACAACATCAAGACAGCATTCTGCACAAACAGAAAAATATCCACCATCCTAAGAAACCCCAAAGACAAAATTGACTTAGAAAATCAAGGAGTATATGAAATCCCATGCACCGCTTGCCCCACCACATACATCAGACAAACCAACAGAAGAATAACTGCACACATTGAAGAACACAAGAACTCAGTCAAAAAAGAAGAACCAATTTCTTTCCTGGTCCAACACTTTAAAGCCACAGGACATGAAATTGACTTTAAAAAGACCAGAACTATCGCCAAAATTGAACACTTTAATAAAAGAATAATCAGAGAAGCTATCGAGATAGAAAAACGCCCACACAGCATGAATAAACAAGATGATACCTCCTGCCTACCAGCCATTTGGAAACCCGCCCTTATTGACAAACGACTCCCTAACACAAAAAATGACACCAGACCCACACTCACAAAAACCACACAGGATGTCACCACCACACATCCACGCAAAAAGCAAACCCAAAGCCACACCGATGATGAGGCACGACCACAAACCAGAAGCCAGACCACAGCTGCATCATTAGCCACTTTAAACCCCTCCAATCCATACATGAAGCAAACTGACACCCACCATGAAGATGAGGCACGACCACGAATGCGAAGCCAAAAAATAGCAATGCAGTTCACCATTTTAAACCCCCCTGCAACTCAGACTAACCTGAGCACAACAAAGCCCTCACCCAAACAGAACACTCCCCCATCCAATCAGAGCACAGCCAAACCCCCATCCAATCAGAGCACAGCCAAGCCCCTAACCAATCAGAACACACCTCCACCCAATCAGAACATAGCCAAGCTCCCACCCAATCAGTTCATACCCCCACTGGCAGTTAAAAGGAAGAAACAGCTACGATCACACATTGCTCCTAGAAGCACGAAGCCGAAAACACCAGCCTGAAGATGACGAGTGGGACTTCGTTGAAACGTCGCCAAGACACTTCCAATTTTACACGGGAGAAAACCTGAATAACCGAAGACCTACATACAAACACCTGCGAAAACCTCAGAAAACATATATATATATATAATAAAAATATAACTCTGAATAAACCAGTTATTTGGCTAATAAGGGGGATATAAAATATCAACTTTAAATGACCATGCATTTTTATGAAATAGGGATTCTGAAATTATATTTAAGTGTACTATTGTACGCTGTTGTTTATTTGATTTGTTGCAATATATGCACTATTGGAATGTAGTGTGCTTTTAATATTAAACAAACCCTGTTGGTGCAGAGTAGTTTTTCTTACCTTTGGCAGCTTTAAGATCTGTGGACTTTAACTCCCAGAATTCCCCAGCCAGTCTGAGAAATTCAAGGAGCTGAAGTTCACTCATCTTAAAGCTGCCAGGGATGAGATAATGTGCTTTAGCATTACAGACATCTCTTACAAAAATAATCTCTTTTTTTTTGAGTCCTGGAAATTGCCCATGCATTACTGAAACATCAAGGTTTCTATTAAAAAAAATTACAAATAAAACAGAGATACACTTTATATTTCAGATATACCAGCTATTTTTGAATGACAATAAGAATACAATAAGAAATGCCATTAACTAGCACACTTGCCAACATTTACTCCAGTTGGCATGTTCTGTGTTTAAAATATTTTCTTAAATTCCATCAATTTTATGAAGAAATGCCTAGTGCAGGGCTTGGTAACCTTAAACACTCAAAGAGCCACTTGGGCCCATTTCCCAGAGAAAAGAAAACACTGGGAGCCGCAAAACTTGCGCATGCGCATGCACACACAAGGGGGGGATCTTGATTGAAGAATTTAATTAAAAAGAAATAGAGGTTGCTGTGCATGAGCTCTCTCTCTCCCTCTCTTTGTCTCTCTCCCTCTCTGTCTCCCCCCCTCCCTCTCTCCGATCTTCTGCTCACCTGGCAAGATGGTTTCACGTTGTTCTTGGACAAGCTGACAAACATTCTTATTGGGCTGGCTCTCTCCTGCCCTTGGTGTGCCAGTCCTCTTCCCCCACTCAGTTTGTGTGTGTGTGTGTGAGAGAGAGGGGGGGGGGCTGCTGCTTCCTGGTTCCTGGTTCGATGCAGCAAAGGCAGGAGCCCTGCTCAATAAGCTTGTTAGCTTGTCTGAAAACAGCGTGAGACCACTCTCTTTTACACACACACACACAGAGAGAGAGAGAGAGAGAGAGAAGGGAAGCGCAAGTGCCTCTCTCTCTCTCTGTCTCTCTCTCTGCAAATGGCGGAGGATGCTGGGAGCCGCAGGAAAAGGCTCAAAGAGCCACATGCGGCTCTGGAGCCGTGGGTTGCTGACCTATGGCCTAGTGTATAGCTTGCTGATTATACTTAGAGTAATTAGGTAGTAATTGGCTTGCTGGGACTTACCACCTCTTTAATATTAATGACTAAACTATTTTACCTTTGGAAGATCATCTTGATCAGCGGTTCTCAACCTGTGGGTCGCGACCCCATTTGGGGTCGAACGACCATTTCATGGGGGTTGCCAAACAACACAATCCGCCTTCCCCCTCCCTTTTCCTTAGCTGTTCTACTCCCTTTTATTCTATTGGCTTTTGAAAGCCAATAGAATAGACTCTCTTGAATAGAGTCTAATTCTATTGGCTTTCAAAAGCCAATAGGAATTGTCCAGGCTGTCTCTGCCCTGTTGAGCCCGCCAAAAGTCCCATTCTATAAACGGTGCTGCAAGTTGTCTGCAGCGAAAGCGAGCTGTCTGGAAGTTTCCACCCCTCCCTGCTGAGCAACTACTAAAAATGTAAGTAAAAGAGGGCCAGGAGTGGGAGGTGGGAGGCTGGCAGGCACAGGGAGGATTGCTGGCGCGTGTGGGGCCCGGCGGGTGCCTTACCTCCCTTGGGCTGGGCCAGCTGGTGGCCCAGCCAGTGCTCGGCCTGCTCCGTCTCTGCCACTTGCCAGCTACGCCTCAGCCGGCGCAGGGGGCGGCACCACACATGCGTGGCGCTCCGGGCAGGGAAAGTCCTCGACTTACGACCGGTTGGGTAGTCCTCGACTTACGACCGGTTGGATAGTCCTCGACTTACAACCGGTTGGGGTCGCAGCATTAAAAAGGTTGAGAACCATTGATCTTGATAGATTGAACACAGGACTGGGATCTCCATTGTATATTAGATTTTAAAACTAAGCACAGTTAGATCATTGGTGGTAGCTTTACCATTTATTGGTTGGAGAATGAGATTAAGAATCTCTGAAGGACTGGCAAAAGGCAAGTCAGGGAGGGACTTGAATTCATTAAGGTATGTGCTGAATGTCTTATAAAAATATCTATGTGTTCTATCAGTCAGCTATAAATTTTTCTGTGGGATCTTATAACATTCTAGGAGACATCTACCATTTTGTGTACTTTTTGTTTTCCTCATCTACTTGATACTAACACAACATTATTACAAAATATTAAAGCAATTAACATTTACCTAACATCATTTGGCTTTTGGTATTTGCTAACAAATCAAAGGCTAATTTTCTTTTGGTTTCTTTTTTTTTAGCAGTTTTGAGGAAAGTTGGTGAGTTTTCTATTTCTGAGTTGGTAGCACAGCTTTCTTCTTTTTCTAAAGCAGACAGTGTATTAACAGAGTGTGTTTTATGTTTGTATCCTAACTTGCTAATTTACTTCATTAAATAAATGTTTATTGAAGTATTTCATAGGCATGAATCTGTTATTTCACCTGCATTATTTGTTTTATCAATGAACAGCTAACATTTAAAAAGAACCTCTGGATTATACAAGACAATTTAAGAGAATTGGAAATATTAAATGTATGACTGCTCATCATTAAAAAAATTAAAATAATCAAATATTGTTTGAATACTTTTTTTAGGACAAAGAGAAAATAGTTTGATTGAGCTTGGTTTTAAGAAGTGTTTATTTGAAAAGGAGATACTGTAGTAGACACCCAGTTTATTTTGTTAAAAATTGCAATGCTGAGGATCAGAATGGCTTCATATTATCTCATTTAGCCTAGAAGCCATTATCCTTATTCTTCAGATCCTTCAATAGTGTGATGTTGCTAAAACATTTAATCACCTTATTGAGTGAGCCTAGGCATTAAAGGAAGCTCTGGGTATCAGGATATGTCTAGACTTTAGTGATTAGATATTTCTACTACCAGTATTTGTCCTGGGGTGCAGCAAGGAGCCTAATTGCAATTTATCTGAATATATGCTCTCCAAAGGCTGATTTATTCATTTTGTGCACACAAAATGGCTTCAAAGATCTATTTGCATCCCTTATCTATTAAGATAAGGGATCACCTTTTATACAAGAGGTTTACATAAATTTGGATCAGATATGAACTAAAACTTTAATCCATGTACATGAATTGACAGTTATACTTCCAAGCATTAGATAAATGGCTTTTGTATCTATGGAACTACACAGTTATATTTGTAAGATTGTGACCTTGGGTCTTTAATCACAAAAGTTGGATTGCTTTAATCTACTTAATCCTAAATTTGAAAAGAAATAAAATTTTATCTTTGGGGGGAGATGGATAAAATTTTGTTTTCCAGTTAAAAGTCAGTGAAGGATGATAGCTGTTCATTTGGGAGAATGGTCATGAGAAGCTGATGAATTATTTCTTTTGATAACAGCAAAAAATTTGCTTTGCTCCTTTTGAGATTGAGTCTAACACAAATAATGCTGCATGTAGTTTGCTACTGCACATAGATTGATTCTGCATGATGTCTCTTTTTCATATAAGATGCACACATTGCTATAACTGTTGATAAAAAATTTAAAAGCCCAAGCTTTTAGATCTGTCCTTAAAATAAACAATCTGTATCACATTAAAAAGAAAGCTCGTATAAAAATTTTAAAGCCACTTTTAAAATGAAAAGATACTTTTTCTCTTTTTTCCTTTTTTTATTACAGTCTAAATCCTTTCCTTTAAAAATGTATTTTTCAAGATAGTTGGGCAAAGCTTTGCTTAATAGCTTTTAAACTATTAGCTAGATTCTTTCAAAGCTAGACTAAGTTCATTAAAAGGAAAAGATGTTGTTACAAGATCCATACTATCAAAAGTATTTTGGCTTCAATTTTACATTGGAAGCTGCTTCTGAAAACTTACATGGTTTCTGAAGCATTGTGTTATGCAAATGGAAGAATTATTTTAAATAAATCTGTTTTGCTATGAATGAATCAGGCAACTGGCAACCTGAAATCTGCAGTGGGACCCTGGAAGGAAGCTATTTGCCAGAGAAAGGAATTAGACTCCATTTTTACCTTTCCAGGCACATTGTGTGAACTAGTAAGCTGATGGCTCTCCAGCAAAAATAGATGGTACACCATCTATCTGGATTTGCAAAAACAAATCCAGATATATGGAAGAGAAGTCAAGTAGCTAGACTTTGCTACAGGGGTCTTCAAACTTGGCCCTTTTATAACTTGTGGACTTCAACTCCCAGAATTCCTCAGCCAGCAAGCCTGGCTGAGAAATTCTGGGAGTTGAAGTCCACAAGTCATAAAAGGGCCACGTTTGAAGACCCCTGCTTTACTATAAATCCATTTTGAGTTATATTTGGGTTAGTTAGTCATCTATAATAGTGCAAATCTGGGTTTATTAAGCAGGATTCTGACATTGGCAAAAAGGTCATATGAAACTTTAATCATCTTGAACAATTACATGATTGTGGAAAGGATAATAGTAATAGTATTTTCTAAGCTGAATCTGGAAATCTTTGAAGGCAGATGGATCGGTTATCCATTTGAATGAATAAATTACTGTATGCTTAGCCAAGAAATTAGATTAACAGAAACAATTGTGTTATTGCTGCATTGTTTGATTGGCACTTTTCTTTTCCTTGTGTGGCTTCTGAGTAATCACATGGCATGTTTGATATACACATTTTGTTCAAATGCTTTCATCATATGCATATCAAGATGGTTTGAATAAGATGGTTGTAACATAACAGATTGTCAGTCTTTGTACTTGGTGGCTTGATACTTAGAACTAGATCTCAAGCCAATATCTTCCACTACTTTTTAAATTAAAATTACTCTTTTTTCCCTTGTCATCAGCACTGCAACCAATTCCCAGTCTATAGTATACATACCACAGGATATTATTCGAGCAAAGGAGATTATTGCACAGATCAATACCCTGAAAACTCAAGTTAGTTACTATGCAGAAAGGCTTTCCAGAGCTGCCAAGGATAAATCAGCAAATGGACTTGAAAGAACACTTGCCATTTTGGCAGATAAGGTAGGGGATTTGTTCAGTTTTCCTTATGTGCCATTGAGATCCCTCTTTAACTTAATATTAAGTGAATATTCTTTTACTGTAAGAATAGCAAAACATTTTGCAGTTATTGAATTTCCTTCTCGGTAGGCCTGCCAAAATCTGAGCATTCTGAATGGACTACAAGAACTTGTTATGTTTATTTGGACTATTTAATGGTCAGTAATGAGCCCTAAATCTCTTTGAACTCAGCATATAAGACTATTGTATTTTATTACACTTGATCTAAGACATCCCATCCTGCTTTAAATCCTACTGCTATAGCAGACCAGACTTGAAGCAAAAAGATTCTGTAACCTTGATTTCTGTTACGAAAGTCTAAAAACTAATACCATAAATCTTGGTGATGCTTAGGGCTGTAAAGCAGCATTCTTCAAATTGCTAATTAAAGTACTCTATGGGGAAAAAAAAATCTTTATGGCCCTGATCATTTTTTCAAGTATTGATATCCATCTCAGTGCTGACTGCCTTCTGTTAATCCTGTTATATTTCCTCTCTCTACATTCACACAACACTAAATCTAGTTTCTTTTAATAAACTATAATTGGTGGGATCCGTACAACATATTATCAAATGCAGGTTATATGCCACAATGTCTAGGTTATACAACGTATTTAGTTAAGAAAAGTTATTGCTTAGTGTGCTGTATGAATCAATTCATTGAATGCAAATTGAAATCAAGTTCACAGTGAAATGCTGTAGAAATAGTTATAAAATAAACATCGTAGAATATATTTTTTAAGATATATTCTATGGGGAGCTGTGCTCTCAATTGGCACTCTAATGGAAAGATTGCCTGACTGCCTCAATTAATGGTATCTAGACCACTAATCACGTTTAAAAAAACGTTTTAGCAGTTTTTTAGTATCCTATAATAACCTTTTTATTTGTTTTTGTACTTAGCCTTAAGGTAAATCATGTCCAGATTTCTTAAAAGTGTCTCAAAGATGTTTTCGAGAGACAACTAGACTTCCTTGTTTTTCTTTAAAAATGTTTCGCTTCTCTTCCAAGAAGCTTCTTCAGCTCTGACTGGATGCTGAGGAATGGAAGGATTCTGTCTTCCTTAATATGTATTGCACAGTCCAGGAAGGCTAGACTATTTTCCTTAATATCTTCCCATGTTGATGTATCTCTCCACAGAATTGATATGTTTGGTGAATGCTTCCAATTCCTGTGTTTTGATCTTGACCCAAGTCTCATCCACATACCTATACCAGTGAGTGGGTGGAATTCCTGTGAAGGAGTTCAGGGATTTGGTTTCTACCTCTTCCATATAGAGATTGGCCACAATAAAGTATACAGGTGATCCCATGGCGCAGCCGTGTTTTTGTCCATAGAAACCTTCATTGTATTTAAAATAGAAGTGGTCAGGCAGAGGTCCAGCATGGCACATATTTGGTCTGGGCTGAGGTTGGTTCTGTCACCTAAGGTGCTGTTTTGTAGCAATCATTTCTTCACTACCATGACAGCTTCAGTTATTGGAATGCAGGTGAAGAGGGAAGTCACATCATAGGAAACCATGATCTCATCCGGGTCCATTTTTAATTTCCAAACATTGCTGACACAGTCCTGTGAATTGTTGATGAGATGGGTAGTGCTACCAACTAGAGGAGCTAATAAGGTGGTTAGATGTTTTGCAATGTAGGTGACAGAGTTGATGCTGACAATTGGTCTGAGTGATGTTCCCTCTTTGTGGATTTTGGAGAGTCCATATATGCATGGAGTGGCTTTCCCAGGGATGTGAATGATACTTGGGTCAAGATCAAAATACAGGAATTGGAAATGTTCACCAAATGTATGAACTTGGTGGACAAATACATCAAATTCACATGGGAGGATGTTAAGGAAAATAGTCCAGCCTTCCTGGACTGTGCAGTACACATTAAGGAAGACAGAAGAGTTAACATTGAAGTTTTCAGAAAACCCACGCGCCCACATACATTTTGATTTTTATCACCCACTGGAACACAAAATGGGAGTTATCAGAACCCTGCACCACTGAGCTGAAGACCTGCCTACCAGCAGAGATGGAAAGAAAAAGAACTAAAACACACCAAGGAAGCCTTCAGAACATGTGACTAGCCCAACTGGGCCTTCATCAAATCCCCAAAAAGACTCAGTAGGAGCTCCTCCATAACAGAAGAGAACAATAAACAAAGCAATGTTGTCATTCCATATGTTGCAGGAATATCTGAAAAGCTCAGGAGAATCTTTGGCCAACACAACATACCTCTGCACACTTTAAATCCAAGAATACATTAAGCTAGAAGCTTGTCCACCCCAAGAATAAAACACCCAGACACAAACTAAGCAACGTGGTATATGTAGTACAATGCAGTGAGACATGTGCAGATCTGTACATTGGGGAAACAAAACACTTCATAAACACATGGCACAACATAGGAGAACAAACCCATCCGGACAAGATGCAGCAGTCTATCTGCATTTAAAAGACAAAGGCCACTCTTTTGAAGACGGCAAAGTCCACATTTTGGACAGAGAGGATCGTTGGTTTGAAAGAGGGGTCAAAGAGGCCATCTATGCCAAAATTGAGCAGTCCTTTCTCAATAGAAGGGGAGGGATGCAACATCATCTATTTCCAGTCTATAACAGGGTCCTTTCAGCAGTTCCAAGAAAGCTCCACACTCATTTGCACCACTCAGGTAATCTTGAGGACACAGATAAACCTCCATGAGGCCTCAATGACTCTCTGAAAGAATGCAAATGACCAGCTGTCTGCAAGGAATATAAATCCTTCCATTCCCCATCATTCAGTCAGAGCAAAAGAAGCTTCTTGAATGAGAAGCGAAACATCTTCAAAGAAAAACAAGAAAGTCCAGTTGCCTCTTGAAAAAGCACCTTGGGACAACCATAAGTTGGATGACTGAGAATCTCCATAAACATGTTAAGAAAAGTATATCTTGTATTGAATTGTTTTTTTAAAAAATGACATTGTTTACTGTACTTAAGTAATGTTGGGCTTGGACAGTTACAAAGAATGATGATGTTATAAAATAGACATTGTTTACAAATACTATGTGTCATCTTTATCCTTTCTAGACCCGGCAGCTTGTCACTGTCTGTGACTGCAAACTGTTGGCAAATTCAATTCATGCCCTGAATGCTGCAAGACCAGATTATATAGCTTCAAAGGCATCTCCAACATCTACAGAAGGAGAACAAGTGGTGCTAAGAAATGACCAAGATACTTTGGTGGCCAGATGGGCAGGAAGAAATAGCCGTTCTTCTCTGCAGGTGGACTGGCATGAAGAAGAGTGGGTAGGCTGTTACCTTAAAATTCCCTTCTTATACTACAGTGAATCTTAATTCAGACAATTCCTTTTTGTAAAATTACAACTGCCGGGTACTTGATCATGTTTTATGGGTTAGAGACTATGCTTAAAATGTTTTAAAAGAGCAAAAGGCAAGTGGGCATTGATCAGTGATGCACAGTGAACGTAATATGGATTTTTGCAACTTTTTTTCTTTGTGCTATAAATACAGTGACCATATTTTCTTGGAAAAAATGAAGGAAAAACCTGAGAAAAGACAACTCTGAAAGAGGTTCACAAGGATAAAAGAAATAAGAATAGTATTTAGGTTTATAACTTTGCTTTACAAAGAAAAATTCAAGAGCAAAATAAGAAAATAATTAAAGGACCCTTGTCTGAAATAAAGGACTGTCCTTTATAATAAAGGATTTATGATCACTGTAGTTATAAATGGTGTTAAGCCTATTTTAGAGCCTGTGTTCCAATTGTCATGTTTCCATTTAAAAAATGGTAGAAATCTATGCACCCAATTGTGGCAATCATTTTTGGAAAGTACTTTGGTGCTCTGGGGCCCTTTGTTTATTAATTCCAGTAGAATCTCTACAGATTATATTAAGTCATTATCTGATTTAAGTATAGTTCGTGGAATAAGTCAAGAGTAGCTGGGTTCATATAGAGCAGGCATGTCAAACTGCCAGCCTGTGGGCCAGATGCGTCACATTGAAACCGCACCTACCCCATTGCCGGCAATGGGGAAAAAGTCACGATACGTCGCACGATGTCACATGACATGCCTTTTGTAGAGAGAATCTAGGAACCAGAGCAGCTGAGGTCATTAACCTCTTGCAATAAACAAATGACCTGGTGACTTAAAGCAACCTGTGAATCCAGACATTGGGTGTTCATTTCTTTTTCTCTACTTCTGTTTCTATTTTTTGAGTTGCCAGTAAATATGGAGCAGCTAAATTTATTTAATTGTTAAGTTTATTTGCTGCCTATCTTGCTGTGGAGTTATTTTAGGTGGCTTATATGTCTTGGAAATGTAATTATTTCCCAATTATTAATTGGAAAGTAGTAAATTAACTGATAGTCTTTGCAGTTTTGTCCAGAAGAAAACAATGTTATTTTACCCTGTTGCCTAGTTAGATGGAAATGGTTAACATGTACCTTTATTTCCTTTCAAGCTATGTACATGCTTTCTATGAATTATTGATAGTAGTGAAAATAGTGTTTTCAAAATATTATTTCAATATATTTCTTTCTTTAGGCTTTTTTATTATATTTGGCACACCAGTATGTCATTGATCCCTTTCTGTTTGTTCCTTCCCAGGAAAAAGTCTGGGTAAATGTTGATAAAAGTCTTGAATGCATTATCCAGAGGGTAGACAAGCTTCTCCAGAAAGAGCGATTACAAAGCGATAGCTGTGAAGATGTTTTCCTGTGTGAAGTCAGCTGCTCTAGCAAGAAAGGTAAACAAGATACCCGTGCATACTGGATAAAGCCAGAGACCTTAAATGAAATCATCTCATCTTCATCATCCCCAACATCATCTTCATCCATTTCATCCTCTGCATGCCATTTTCCCAGAATCACAAGTGCGTATGACAGCCATGGCTTTTTGCTGTTGCCATTTTGTTCTGCTTTGTTGCATTTCTTAGCACTTCCTTAATCATGATCCATGTGTTGGAAGCATTTCTCAGTATACAAGGAACCTTCATTTAACAATATGTCAGAAATAAGAGAACCATGGTCTTTTTGCTGTATTTCCATTTTGAATTTTCAGAGCATTTTCTAAAAAGATTAATGGGTTAAATAGGGAGTGCTTGTAAGCATTCTCGAAAAAGCTATAGTAGAAGTTAGATTGTCTATGGAGATTCTCAATCTTCCAGGTCATAGTTGTTCTAAAGGTGCTTTTTCCAAAAGGCAACTGGATTTTCTTGTTTTTTTTTCTTTAAAAATGTTTCACTTCTCATTCAAAAAGCTTCTTCAGTTCAGAAGTTCAGAACTGAAGAAACTTCTTGTATGAGAAGTGAAATGTTTTCAAAGGGAAAAATAGAAAATCCAATTGCCTTTTGGAAAAAGCATCTTTGGGAGTAGAAGTTAGATTATTTTTTCAGAAATACATAATAGGCAACAAAATGCTTGTAGACATTTATCTTTTCATCTACCAAGTTCCATTCCATCCTTATTTAATTTTTTTTATATTCTTTAAATTTAAAAAATAAAGAACTCCAGATTCTAGTTTTAGTATTTATAAAAATGTCTGACGGCCCTGCATATATCAGAAGATAGAAAAACAATTGGATTGCCCAGTGATGTTTTCAGAAGTAAGCTTACCTCCTAATTAAGAAATCAACTGATAATTTCAAATTGGTTGATATTTTAGGACAGGGCTTTTCAACCTTTTCAGAGATTGTACCACTTTTAGGATATGGCAATATTTGAGTACCACAGTCGCCTAGCAGGTGGGCATGGCCTGTTTGATGCCACTCACTGGACACAACTGACTTGAGACAGCTGGATCAGAACAGAACAAGTCGCACCAACTAACTCGATGTGGGGACAACTTGTTGTCCCACAAACTCCTCACCTCCCCAGATTGCTAGCAGCCAAGTGCATGCGCGCCCACACGCACACACCGCATTCCAAGTTTGGGGACTTTTATCCACAAAGGAAGGAGAGGGCCTTCTCCCTAAGCCCAGGCATGATTGGCAGTTTGCTAGTTCAGATGTGGATACAAGTCTCCAAGCTTGGAGAGAAGAGTGTGTGTGTGTTTGTATTTGTGTGTGTGCGCGCACACATAGCACAGTAAAGGAGATGTTCTTCTCCCAATCCCAGACATCATTGGTGTTTCCCTGTCCGGTGCCCCTAAAGCAAAGGAGGAGGTGGAGGATGACATTGCTGCATATGAAAGCGTAGAGGAGAAAGTTTGCAGGAAGCAGTTTCCTCCAAGTCCAACTTCTGTCTTGACAGATCTCTGGAGAGCAAGAGGAGCAGGCAGGGGAGCAGCGCTCCGGGGTCCTGCACAAGGGAGGCTGTCCCTTCTCAAAAGGGAATTCCTATTTCCAATTGTGCATGGTAAGGATGGTAGCTTGTTGGGGCAGCCTTCCCTCATGCAGCTCCCCTGCTACCTTCTCCTCCTCTCCAGAGATCTTCAGGGGAGACAGAGATCTGGAGGGCAAGGTGCAGCCTCCATATTGGCAGCTTCTACCTTTCCAAGTCCTTCTCGGTTAAACATACATTATATATAAATTAAAACACAGCAAAAAGAAAACATAGTTAAATCACTAATTACAGCTCTTCACATATTTTCTGGAAAAACCACCTTTATTGATGTTAGGAAGGAAGAGCAAACTTTATTAAGGAACTCTTAACAGGAAGGGAATTGAAGACCCCAAAAGGTCTCGTTCTTTCTAATCTGCCTTCCCTTTGAGCCTTTAGTTCTCATTATTTTATTACTATGTATTTAAGAAGAAGATCAAAGGCCTCCATAGCTCAGGATACTCACCTTAAAATCAGAACCCAGAAAAATTTAGTTAATCCACAAAACCGTCCTAAGGAGAATGAAGCCCTGAGAGCATGTAGGTGTCAAGTCAGAATATTAGTGGCACACCTGTCAACAACTGGAAGTGCATAAGTCCATGCACTTTCCTTTCCTTTTTTTATGTATATTTTATTAATTTTTTACAGTAACAGTCTTTAGTATATAATAAGCAACATGTCTGGGTTTATGTGTTTAACATTAATAGTAATAAAATTTCCATTCCTACCCTTTATTCCATTTTTCCTAACCATTTACAAAAATGTTCCCATGTTTGAAATTATTCTGAATCTTGCTTCCCGTTCATTTTCAATATGAGCCTATCCATTTCTGCACAGTCCAAAATTTTCTTAATTACCGTATATGCCGATGTACAAGGCGACCCGGCGTATAAGACGACCCTCGTCTTTGTCGCCGAGTCGCATTCCTAGAACATCATCTTATACGCCGGAAACTACCAGTATTTCCGGTGTATAAGACGACTCGGCGTATAAGACGACCCCCGTCTTTGGCGCCGATTTTAACTCTTGCGGAAGTCGCCTTATACGCCGGCATTTACGGTATGTCTTCTTCAGATGGTATTTCTTCATTTTTCCAGTATTGAGCAAATATAATGTTAATAGATGTAATACTAAGTATACACATTTCTTTTTTTTTTTATTGAAAATTTTTAAAATTTTACAAAAAAAAAAAGATTCCCCTCCCGAAACCCTCCCAACCCACCCCAACCCTCCCCCAACCTTCCCAGAGCTGAATACAGGCTTAGTTAAAACTTAAAAGAAAAAATTTTTAAACACTTGTAAACCATAAACAATTAATTACAATAATTAAACAAATTATAAAATACTTTAAGACCAATATATAAAAAGCAAAAAAAATTATGATTTTTATTAGACGCTTTATAAAATACTCTAAACATTTTCTAATGTCATACTTATATTATTTAAAATTTATCCATCATTCTTTATAAACACCCTCAAAAACACACATATAAACATTACTTATAACATTGAAATTCCCTTATACATATTTAAAGCAAAATATTCCTTTAAATGCTCCTTAGATATCTAAACATGCACTACCTATCTAAAATTTTCATTCAATCTCCATAATATCGTACTTATATTATATAAAATCTAATCTCTCCCTCTTTCTTTATCATCAAACACAAAAATAAACATATAAACGTTAGTTATACCATTAAAACAAGATACTCTTTTGAATACTCCTTAAATTACTAAACTTAAACTTCTTATCTAAAATTTTCATTCGATCTCCATAATCTTCTCTCCTCTTTACCAATAACCAATTCCATCCACAGTGAACTGTAATCTATCAATAACCTGAAAACATCTATACATTCTTTATCAATCTCTCTTATCCAAAAACCTCGAGAGAAGTGCTTGGAAATCTGCCCTTAAAGGCTCCAAAAAGTTTATAGATCTTGCTTGTCCCACAGACTCAGAAACAAATACTTGTGAGGCTTCCTTAACCTCCTTCTTCTGTTGCTCCTTTTCTTTGCGTTTATGTGTTACACGGGTTATTCTCTGCTCCTTCATCTCAACTTGTTGAGGCTCCTCAGTCTGAAATTTCCTAATTTTCATCAATATAGGCTCTTCAGACTGCAATTCTGCCTTCTTCTCTTCCGAAGCTTTAGACATGATAGGTGGCGATGAGCTTCGGAAGAGAAGAAGTGTAAAACTCTTTTGCTTTGAAAACAGTATTAAGTCTATAACGTGTCCCCAGATAATTCACCACCATTCCAGTCGGGACATCCCATCTGAACAACATTCACCTCTTTTTAAGTTCATCTGCTAAAAAAGCAAACTCCTTTCTTCTTCTTAAAATTTTAGATGGGATCTCCTTTAAAATTATAACGTCTTGTGAAGCAATCTGAAACCTCTTATTGTAAAAAGCTTGTATAATTTCATTGTGCAGGGATCTTTTCCCAAAATAAATTACCACATCTCTTGGCAGATTTCTTTGCTTTGCCACCACAGAGTTAACTCTAAATGTTTTTTCAATTTCACTAAATATTTCCTCTTTTTCTCTGTCCAGAATCACAGCAAAGTCATTTGCAACCATCTCTCTCAGATCTCCTTGCAGAGACTCTCTCAAGCCTCTAATTCTTAAAGCATATTCCATTTCTCTATATTGAAGCATAAGAATCTCATCTTGAGAATTTTCCATCCCTTTTTCCATGCCTTCAAATTTTCCCTCCAACAGCTCCACTTTGTCTGCAACCTCTCCTACATGAAAATTCAACTTTTCAAGAACAGAGGCAAGTCCTTTTAAAGCCAAAACTATATCTTGCCTCAGAATCCTATTATTTTCCGCTAAAATCTCTTTCACTTCTCCCCTGATTTGAGATATAGCATTTCCCATTATGTCTTGCAAATCCTTTACCGTTAATAACTGTGCCAAAGGAGAGGGTGAAGCTATTGATTTAGATGGTTGCACTGATGATATCACCGAAGAAGAAACCACCTTAGGAGCTGTGGGAATTACTGGACGCTTTGGAGCCATCTTAGAAAATCTTTACTCCTTCTTTAAAATTACCCAAAAAAAGGAGGGAAAGAAAAGTTAAGCAAAAAAAAGGGAGATTAACTCCAAAAAATCAAAAACTCCTTCAAAAGGAGATCATTATAATAAAAAGAAAAAAGTTAAGAAAAAGAAGGAAAAGGAAAGAGAAAAAAAAATAATTAAATAGAAAAAATCCGTTCTGTTATTTTTTTTAAAAGTACAAAAAACAAAAAAAATCCTTCAAAAAATAAAAAAAAAGTTAAACAGAAAGGGAAAATAATCCTCCTAAAATCCAAACCCAACATCAAAAAATCATTATAAATAATCAAATCCGTTCCATTCCGTTCCAGTCATTAAAAAAAAAAACACCAAAAAATCTACCGATCGCCATTTTACTTTCCCTTTCAACAAAAGAAAAAAACAAAAAGAGGGAATAAAAGTAAATCTTTAAATTTAAAATCCAAATAAGATCGGAAAAAACAAAATCCTCTACTCAGCTCTGTCCGCTTTTAAAAAAACTCACCAGATCAC